AAAAAAAAAAAAAGGTATGAAATAAAAAAAAATATGAAATAAAAAAAAGGGTGTACTTCATTGAATAAAAGGGGGCGATTCGGGTTTTGATTATTACGAAGACAAGAAGAAAAAGTCAGTTAATAAGAGATTCAAATGGAATCGCCACGTTGACTCGTCACGATTTTATTTCATTTCTTATCGTGCCTGTTCTTTTCTCTTCTTCTTCTTCTTCTTCTTCTTCTATTTTTCAGTCTCGTTACACTTTACTGTATTTGTGTTATATATATATATTATATTATATATATATTATATATATATTATATATAATATATATTATAATATATATATATATATATATACACGGCTCGATCTCAATTGAAATCGCCTATTTTTGCTTAAGCGGATTATCGATGCGTTCATTGATATACTTTACATTGTGGAATTATATTATCTTCATTTTATATATTTTGACCATTATATATTTAAAATATGTAGGGGGGACAAATTTATTGCTCAATAGAGACTTTTTAATGATTGTAAGTCTAGTCGACGTGAAACCCAAAAGAAAAGAAAAAAGAATACTATGAATATTAGATCAAATTAGCTTCTTATATTCCATAACTGAAGAAAAAAAAAGTTTTATAAAGGAAACCCGAAAAGACACATCCATTATATATTATATATATATATATATATATATATTTATATATTATTATATATAATATATATATTATAATATATCTTCGTATTGGGGTCCAATTTGATTCACTAAAAACTATCTTTGAAATGTTCATATCACTTATAAGAAAAAGAACTTTAAATGTTTATTCGAATTAACTAGCATTGACGTTTTATAACCCAATGCAATTTTCCCAATTAAAACTCAACACAAAAGCACTGGAATGATATGAAATAACCCAACCTCATAACGTTTGAGATGAACAAATTACATATAACTTTCTCGCAAGATTTATATTATTCATACATTATTAATCCATATTTATTCACATTATTTATCATTAATATTTTACAGTCTAATACAGTCCTCTCTGAAGATTCTACAACATAGAAGTATTTTAATAATAGAAAAATAACCGATTTACACACTAATACAACTACTTAAAATTCCACAACACATCACTTGAAATACAACAGAAAGACAACCACTTTTTAACAACTTGAAATTCCACAATACAGAAGTACTTAAACGAGATGAGACTATTTTTCAACAATTCACAGCCAAATACAACTCTTCCATGAAACCCACAACATAAAATTTGAATGAGAATAAAAATACAACCAAAAATATTAACAATCTATAACCAAATACAACTACAAGACATTCAACAGCAAAAGCACTTGAAGGAGAATGGAAAGACAAAATGAATATTGACAACACAATACAACCCCTGCATGAAACAAAATAATAAACACAACCATTTTTTTTCACAAAAAGCTTACAACATTCACAACTCCTGCATGAAACCCCCACAACACAAAAAAAAACACTTAAACGAAAACAAAAACACAACCCAAAAATCCTTAACAACTCACAACCTCGCCACCTCCATAAAACCCCACAACGCACAAACGTAAACAAAAATCACAACCAAACATCTCCTTAACGCTTCATAACACAACACCATGAAATCCCACAACACAAAATCCCATTAACTGGAATCACAAGGACCTACCCTCAATAACTCCTTCCCGTAGGCTCCATTGTAAGGGTTGTTAAGGGTGTGATCCAAATAACCAATATTAGTGTTGTAATCACCTCCTATGTTGTGTTGGTGAAGGCATCCATCTGGTCTGAGGATTGGGGGAAGGCTGGATCAGTAGCAACTCCAGGAGGTGTCACGTTTTGTCTGTTTTGATGATTGTTCAATGGAAATATAACCAATAAAATCATTATTTTTCCATCCTTTTTGAAAATGGAAGAGACCAAAAATGATCGACCATATTCATAAAGCATCCGTAACTTTTGTGACGTCATCAAAATAAACCCCATGTGTTTTTGTTTTTTTTTTTCCAAAAATAGAATCGGACGCCATGACACCTCCTCGAGATGCTACTGATCTAGCCTTCCCCTTAAGGATTCGATCAGAAAGTTAGAGAAAATTGAAAGGATTATTGGCAGATAGACAGATAGATATATGGATCACCCACCACCATCACCCCTCCCCCATTACCTACACATCACCCCTCCCCCACCACCCCCACTACCCCTATCCCCCACCCTATCCCCACTACACCCTCTCCACCCACCCCACCACCATCACCCTCCCTCCCACTACCCCATCACTCCCACCCCACCCCATCAACCCCACCCCCCCCCATCACCTACCCACCCCCACCCAACCCTCACTCAACCCGTTCCCGTCGTAAGGTTGCCGTTCAGCCAGATCCACGTAGAGGGCCTCCTGCACCTGCGCGTGGATATCGACGTGGGTTCCCCTCAGGAGGCCCTCGACTTCCCCAAACATCGCTCGAGGACCTAGGTTGCCGCCTGGAGTAGGGGAGGCGAAGGGGTTAGGTGAAAGGTGGGTGAAAGGACACTCGAAGATGTCTAAGGTTTGGGGGTTTGGGTGAAGGGCGTGTGGGGTATGCGTGGGTGGGTGGTGGATAGGTGGATGGATGGCTGGGTTGGTGAAAGGGTGGATGGGTGGATGATTGGTTGAGTGAACGGGTGGATAGGTGGATGACTGGGTGGGTGAACGGGTGGATGGATGGATGACTGGGTAGGTGGGTGGATTGGATGGATGGATGACTGGGTTAGATAGGTGGATGGATGACTGGGTAGGTGGGTGGATGATGGATGGATGACTGGGTGGGTGGATAGATGGATGGATGACTGGGTGGGTGGATAGGTGGATGGATGACTGGGTAGGTGGGTGGATGGATGGATGGATGACTGGGTGGGTTGGATAGGTGGATGGATGACTGGGTAGGTGGGTGGATGGATTGTATGGTGCTGGGTGGTGGATAGGTGGATGGGTGGATAGGTGGATGACTGGGTGGGTGGATAGGTGGATGACTGGTGGGTGGATAGGTGGATGACTGGGTGGGTGGATAGGTGGATGACTGGGTGGGTGGAATAGGTGGATGACTGGGTGGGTGGATAGGTGGATGACTGGGTGGGTGGATAGGTGGATGACTGGGTAGGTGAACAGTTGGATGGGTGGATGATGGGGGTGGGTGGGTGGATAGGTGAATGACTGGGTGAGTGAATGGGTGAATAGGTGAGTGGATGGATTGGTGGGTGGATGGATAGATGGGTGACTAGGTGGGTGGATAGGTGGATGAATGGCTGGGTGCATGAGTAAGTGGATAAATGAGTGAATAAGTAGATAGGTGAATGGGTAGGCGGATGGGTGGATAGGTGAATGGACGGTGGTTAAATGTGTGTATGACTGGTTGGGTTGGGTGGATAGGTGGATAGATGGATATTGGATATGTGGATAAATTTGGAAAGAGGAAGGAATGGATGGATTGTGTCATCATTAATTCTCCATAATATCAATTATCATTATTTTCCTACTAGAATGATTGAACATTTTCCTACTAAAATATCCACTTATTTTCTTCTTCTTCCCTACGTCTTCTTGTTCGTAATTTGTTTATTACGAATCCTTCACAAGGTCAATCATGCATTTAAAATAATAATGATAATGATATAATGTACCTTCCTATTTTTCCATCATTTTCTCGCATTTTATCATTATGACTTGCCCACAAGGTCATTTACTATTAAAATGATGAGATATTTCACTATGAATACTTTTGTATTTTCCTACTCTTCCTTTCAATATTATATTCTATTTATATATATTTATATATATATTATATATTATATTTTTTTTTTTTTTTTTTTATTTTTTTTTTTTTTTTTTTTTTTTTTTTTTTTTTTTTTTTTTTGCACATTACGAATCTTCCGAAAGATCAATAATCATCCATTTTCATACACTTCCTTCTCGTCTCCTCTCTTTTTCTTCCCCATGCGTTAATCATGAATCCTCCAGATTCATTTCCCCACCAAAATAACCCTTGTAATTTCCTATCAAAATACCCTCTTTATTTTGGTCACGTTTGTTCCCCTCAAGTACCTGCCATGTCACCGGAGACCTCCTCGGGATTCCACACAGGTCCTGCTTGGGTGTTCTGCCAGTACCTGAGGAGGAGAGGAGGGACTGAAACGTGTGCTTGTGAGAATGTGTGTGTGTTTCGAGTCTTGTTGGTGTTGTTGTTTGTTTTCGGGGTGTAAGTGTGTGTCTTTGCTTCCTGGGCTTTATGTGTTTGTGTGTTTTCGAGTCTGTTGTTGTTGTTGTTGTTGTTGTTGTTGTTGTTGTTGTTGTTGTTGTTGTTGTTGTTGTTGTTGTTGTTGTTGTTGTTGTTGTTGTTTGTTTGTTTGTTTTCGGGGGTAAGTGTGTGTCTTTGCTTCCTGGGCTTTCTCTGGGGGAATCTTCTTTTATTTTATTATTATTATTATTTTCATTTATTTGTTTTTTTATTATCATTTTTTTTTTCATTATTATCTATTTATCATTATGATTCTTTTATTTTTTTTCGCTGATGCGTAAATTATATTTTGTACCTTATATATTTCCACGTAATGTTTTTCTCCCTTTCTTTAAATAATCATTTGTTTTAATAGGTTTAAACATTATGAACTATGACCACATACATACTTTTCTTCCTTCCATTCATTCTATTCCTTATTTTTACTTTTTTCCCTTTTTTTAGTATCTTCCTTTTTTCTTTTTTAACACACACACATGCACATATATAATTATTATATTAACTATACATATACCATGTAAGGATATATATATACAGTGTGTGTGTGTGTGTGTGTGTGTGTTATGTTGTGTGTGGTTATGTGTGGATGTGTGTGAGTGTGTGTGTGTGTGTGTGTATGTATTTATGTATGTGTGTGGCTGTGTGTGAGCGTGTGTGTATGTGTGTGTGTGTGTGCTTGTGTATGCGTTTGGTTGTGTATATATGTGTGTGTATGCGTGTGTGTGCATTTCTTCCTCTTTTTCCGAACAAATCCAAACACCATATCACAAACCTCCCCCCCCCCCCCGGCAGATCTTAACCGCCCTAAAACCCAAGACTCTCAAAATCTCCTTCGCCGTCTTACCTGTCCAGGAAATCCGTCAGGAGCTCCGACCCCAGAAGGTCCTTCGCCAGCACGACTCCACCCCACATCATGGAAGGACCCCGATCACGTGACCCCACCAATTGCCGTCTGTGTGGACAGGGAGAGAAGCAGGATAGGGGAGTGGACAGGAGAGGCAAGCGGGAGATAGGGAGAGGAGGAGAGAGGGAGAGGTGGAGGGGTGGGGGGAGGGGCAGATGCATCCTCACGTTAACACAAACGAAAATGTTCAAAAAAAAATCTTAAATAAGGTGATTGCTTGAGTTACGTTCCATTATCCTTGCTCTGCCACGGGTGTTGGTGTCCCCCAGATGCCTCGTATGGCAACCCAACCCCAGAGTATCAACGGAAAAGCTTTCTCGGTCCTAATTTCAGCATTGTAAGTTCAACAAAGTCACTCCCGGATAAAATTAGGAATCATTTCGACAATCCTGATATTGCAAAACCATCTGCAGAGTGTTTCAGATGATATTGGGAATATCTAGACATTCTTTAGATTTCTATAACAACCCAGTCCAGGAAGTAATCAAGGGAATATTTCGATCATTCTTATATTGCAACCCAATTTGAGAGAGTTTCGGATAATAGGATAAACATTTCGACTATCCTTACCTTTATAGTGCAACCCAGTCTAGAAACATTCAGAACAGAGGGAATATTTTTGACAAACAATTGTCTTATGATGCAACTCAGTCCAGAAAGACCCAGATAACAGAGGTAATATTTCGACATTCTTTAGTCTCTCTATCCAGACATTACTAATTAATATAATCAATATTTCGACAATCCTCAGTCTCATAAGACAACCCGATCTACTAGCTAATATAAGGAATATTTCGAAATCCTCACTCATAAGACAACCCGATCTACTAGCTAACACAAGGAATATTTCGAAATCTTTAGACATAATACAACCCGATGTACTAGCTAACATCAGGGATATTTTAGAAATCCTTTGTCATAATACAACCCAATCTACTAGCTAACATAAGGCATATTTCGACAATCCTCAGTCTCTTAATACATCCCAATCTACAAGCTAATATAAGGAATATTTCGAAATCTTTAGACATAATACAACCCAATGTACTAGCTAACATAAGGGATATTTTGAAATCCTTACACATACTACAACCCAATCTACTAGCTAACATAAGGAATATTTCGACAATCCTCAGTCTCATAGTACATCCCAATCTACAAGCTAATATAAGGAATATTTCGAAATCTTTAGACATAATACAACCCAATGTACTAGTTAACATAAAGAATATTTCGGAATCTTTACTCATAATACAACCCAATCTAGACGTGACTAACTAAAATAAGGAATATTTCGAAATCCTAAGACGCATCAAAGACAACCCAATCTAGACGTGACTAACTAAGATAAGAATAGGAATATTTCGAAATCCTAAGACGCATCAAAGACGACCCAATCTAGACGTGACTAACTAAAATAAGGAATATTTCGTAATCCTAAGACGCATCAAAGACAACCCAATCTAGACGTGACTAACTAAAATAAGGAATATTTCGAAATCCTAAGACGCATCAAAGACAACCCAATCTAGACGTGACTAACTAAAATAAGGAATATTTCGAAATCCTAAGACGCATCAAAGACGACCCAATCTAGACGTGACTAACTAAATAAGGAATATTTCGTAATCCTAAGACGCATCAAAGACAACCCAATCTAGACGCGACTAACTAAAATAAGGAATATTTCGAAATCCTAAGACGCATCAAAGACGACCCAATCTAGACGTGACTAACTAAAATAAGGAATATTTCGTAATCCTAAGACGCATCAAAGACAACCCAATCTAGACGTGACTAACTAAATAAGGAATTTCGAAATCCTAAGACGCATCAAAGACGACCCAATCTAGACGTGACGAACTAAAATAAGGAAATATTTCGAAATCCTAAGACGCATCAAAGACAACCCAATCTAGACGTGACTAACTAAAATAAGGAATATTTCGAAATCCTAAGACGCATCAAAGACGACCCAATCTAGACGTGACGAACTAAAATAAGGAATATTTCGAAATCCTAAGACGCATCAAAGACGACCCAATCTAGACGTGACGAACTAAAATAAGGAATATTTAGAAATCCTAAGACGCATCAAAGACGACCCAATCTAGACGTGACTGACTAAAATAAGGAATATTTCGAAATCCTAAGACGCATCAAAGACGACCCAATCTAGACGTGACTAACTAAAATAAGGAATATTTCGAAATCCTAAGACGCATCAAAGACGACCCAATCTAGACGTGACGAACTAAAATAAGGAATATTTAGAAATCCTAAGACGCATCAAAGACGACCCAATCTAGACGTGACTAACTAAAATAAGGAATATTTCGAAATCCTAAGACGCATCAAAGACGACCCAATCTAGACGTGACGAACTAATAAGGAATATTTCGAAATCCTAAGACGCATCAAAGACAACCCAATCTAGACGTGACGAACTAAAATAAGGAATATTTTCGAAATCCTAAGACGCATCAAAGACAACCCAATCTAGACGTGACGAACTAAAATAAGGAATATTTCGAAATCCTAAGACGCATCAAAGACAACCCAATCTAGACGTGACGAACTAAAATAAGGAATATTTCGAAATCCTAAGACGCATCAAAGACGACCCAATCTAGACGTGACGACTAAAATAAGGAATATTTCGAAATCTTTAGACATAATACACCCAATGCACTAGTAACATAAAAATATTTCGAATCCACGCATAAGACAACCCAATCTAGACGTGACGAACTAAAATAAGGAATATTTCGAAAATCCTAGACGCATCAAAGACAACCCAATCTAGACGTGACGAACTAAAATAAGGAATATTTCGAAATCCTAAGACGCATCAAGACGACCCAATCTAGACGTGACGAACTAAATAAGGAAATTTCGAAATCCTAAGACGCATCAAAGACGACCCAATCTAGACGTGACAACTAAAATAAGGAATATTTCGAAATCCTAAGACGCATCAAAGACGACCCAATCTAGACGTGACGAACTAAATAAGGAATATTTCGAAATCCTAAGACGCATCAAAGACAACCCAATCTAGACGTGACGAACTAAAAATAAGGAATATTTCGAAATCCTAAGACGCATCAAAGGCAACCCAATCTAGACGTGACGAACTAAAATAAGGAATATTTCGAAATCCTAAGACGCATCAAAGACGACCCAATCTAGACGTGACGAACTAAAATAAGGAATATTTCGAAATCCTAAGACGCATCAAAGACACCAATCTAGACGTGACGAACTAAAATAAGGAATATTTCGAAATCCTAAGACGCATCAAAGACGACCCAATCTAGACGTGACGAACTAAAATAAGGAATATTTCGAAATCCTAAGACATAATAAACCTGCACTAGTTAACATAAAGAATATTTTGAATCTTTACTCATAATAACCAATCTAGACGTGACTAACTAAAATAAGGAATATTTCGAAATCTAAGACGATCAAAGACGACCCAATCTAGACGTGACGAACTAAAATAAGGAATATTTCGAATCCTAAGACGATCAAAGACGACCCAATCTAGACGTGACGAACTAAAATAAGGAATATTTCGAAATCCTAAGACGCATCAAAGACGACCCAATCTAGACGTGACGAACTAAAATAAGGAATATTTCGAAATCCTAAGACGCATCAAAGACGACCCAATCTAGACGTGACTAACTAATAAGGAATATTTCGAAATCCTAAGACGCATCAAAGACGACCCAATCTAGACGTGACTAACTAAAATAAGGAATATTTCGAAATCTAAGACGCATCAAAGACGACACCAATCTAGACGTGACGAACTAAAATAAGGAATTGTTTCGAAATCCTAAGACGCATCAAAGACACCAATCTAGACGTGACTAACTAAAATAAGGAATATTTCGAAATCCTAAGACGCATCAAAGACGACCCAATCTAGACGTGACTAACTAAAATAAGGAATATTTCGAAATCCTAAGACGCATCAAAGACGACCCAATCTAGACGTGACGAACTAAAATAAGGAATATTTCGAAATCTTTAGACATAATACAACCCAATGCACTAGTAACATAAAAATATTTTGAAATCTTTACTCATAATACAACCAAATCTAGACGTGACTAACTAAAATAAGGAATATTTCGAAATCCTAAGACGCATCAAAGACGACCCAATCTAGCCACAACTAGATCCTAGAAAAAAGAAAAAGAAAAGACTACATTAATTCCCTTCCATTGCTTACGACCACCTGGAGGACCCACGACGCACAGGCCAAGCTCACCTGTGTTCGGAGGCGCGTCGTAAGTAATGAAGGAGAAACAGGTAAGGATCTCAGCTGTGAGGTCCTTGCCGTTGAGGTGGTGGTACAGGAGGGCGCTCTGTCGTCTGCCGTGGGTCCTGAAGGATTCCGAGTCGTCTTGACCGTACTAGGATGCGTAGGATTTGGTAGAGAAGGATATATTTTTTTTTTTTTTTTTTTTTTTTTTTTTTAGGAAGCATACAGTCCTTTCTTTTCTCTTTAAATCGACACTTTTCAGCAAAGAATGAGAAGAATAAGGAAAAGAAGGAAAAAGAAAAAGAAAACATTTCCATCAGATCAGCGAAAGAAGAAGATCGCAAAAGAATAAATAGATAAATAGATAAATAAATAAATAGCATTAACATCAAAGCAGACAAAGGAAGATCAGAATAAAATGAAGAATTAGAAAAAAAGTTAAATGAAATAAAAATAAAAAAAATAATGATAATAAAATTACCATTAGGTCAGACAAAGGAAGATCAGAAAAGGAAAAAAATCTAAAGAAAAAAAATAAAGAAGAGAAAAGCAAAAGAGAAAGAAAAAATATTACTATCAGATCATACAAAGGGAGATCAGATAAAAAGGAAGAATCAGAAAAAAGAAAGAGAGAAAAAACGAAAAAAAAACAAAAAAAAAGAAGAGTAGGAAAAAGAAAAACGATAAAAAACAAAAATAAATAAGAAAGAAAAGAAAAGAAAAAAGAAAAAAATAATACCTTCAGATCAGAAAAAGATCCATCAGCCTTCAGGAGTGACAGGAGGTGGTCGAGGTTCTCATGACTGGCGGTGTCATAAGCAGCCTGTGTCATGCGACCTAGGATGACCTCCAAGTCCGTTCGCCAGCTGGCATTCGCTACACTCACCTGCATGTTGGGAATGTTGATTGGGAATTGCGGTTAATTGCCCTCAAGGAATGGGAATATCAAATAGGAAGTGGGTT